CCTTACTGGGTTCATGTGCTTCTTCTTGAGTGCAGAAGGCAACGTTATCAGGTATAGTGCATGATCGAACAAGCGATGAGTATTCTGTCTCTTCCAAAATTACAGTTGGTCTGTCGTGCTTCGGGCACGTGTTGGTTGAGGTTCTCTAAGCACAGTGAATGGATCCCACTGTTGAACTCTTTTTCCTGAGTAACACTCAGATGCACCTAGTTTAAAGCCTGATGAATACAAGAATGCTTTGTGCTTGGTTCCCTTCCGGTCATTGCCCATCTCCTTGTTTCTGTTCAGGATCCCACGGGGTGTGCTTTTATTACGGTTATTTGACAATGAGACACCGTTATTCACTACTGGTGCAGTGGTGTATATTACCAATGAAGCGTGCAAGTAGTGTCTGGTTTGGCGTCGAAGATCCGTCTCCTTATTTCCGCTCAGGATCCCACGGGGTGTGCTTTTATTGCGGTTATTTGACAGTGAGACACCGATATTCACTACTGGTGCAGTGGTGTACATTACCAATGAAGCGTGTAAGTAGTGTCTGGTTTGGCGTCGAAGATCCACCCTCGCATCTGATTGCAGTTAAAGTTTACTACAGAAAATATAGAGCCACTTTGCAGTGTTTGCTCGTCATTGCTTAATATTCGAAGAACGTTCAGGAATTACAAAGAGGAGACTTGTGAATATTCACTTTTCAAAAGCTCTGTTCAGAGGAGACATTTACTTTTGTGTCTAATGGCTTGTAACCACTTAGTTCGTGTTTGTTGATGAACAACTTTGCACAGAAAGGCGCTTCTCCTTTTGTTGGTATATTATTCTCACTGAGGAACCTCCTTTGACGAGCCGTCGCTGATTAGCTGTAACTTGGAAGGAGCGATTCAGGCCATAAATTTCCTATAAGCTGGGGTTCTTGAATTGGCATCGAAAGAACCATATATCTGATTTTGGAAAGGGTTTGAGAAAACCGGAATTATCAACGTCTCCTAAACATGCGTCGTCCCATAAAAAGTCAGTCGGACCGTGGGCCATGTGCCTTTATGCTGTGCTTTTTTACTGATGTTAGAAACGAAACTTTTTCCAGAGGAAAAACTGCTTTTCTGGACGCCTTTTTGCTGTGCTTTTCTACTGATGTTAGAAACGAAAATTTTTCCAGAGGAAAAACTGCTTTTCTGGACGGTCTGGAATGTAATGCCTAGAGGTTGCATATCCTATAAATATCTGGTTAGAAAACGCTTTGTATTGTCCCTACTGTGTAGCAAAATATAATCAGGGGACCCCTTTAGGAAGAGGTTGCTCCGCTTCAGTGAGAAGCTTTAACGACTGGTAGATGCATTAAACTGGGTACCTACTCTGATGCGTGTACTAATTGTCACCACACCATACCCGAAAATTTCTGTCACCCCATTACCAAAACGGTTTCTCTGCAGAGTTTATTTTTTCCTGGAACAAAACACTGTGTCTTGAAACGGGTTACAAGCTGTCAATGTCGCGAACGGATGTGTCATCCGAACCATACGAACTATTCGGAAATTCAGTGGGACTTTTCACTTGTGCCAAAGTGTCAAAGCTACATCACCGTGAAAACCAGTGAAGCATTCAGTCCAGGTGAGCGATATGCTTTTTCTTCACATATTCTGAATTCCCGAACGGCACTGCTGCTCCGTTCACGTGCCGAGACAGCGCAAACGCTGTTATAGGAGTGAATATTTCCTATTCACAATCTATGTTTACCACATAATTCTTCTCACCTGCGAGAAAATTATATCGTTATTTGGCCAGTCACTTCTCACTGGTCCCTAGTCTCAATGAGTCTTCCTTCTAGAAAGTAGGAAACAATCGCGCGTTTTTGGCCTCGTTGAACACACGTTGTTGTCCCACTCGACTGAAGTTTTGCTAAAAGACTTAACCCTGGAAAGTTCCAACCATATTAGCTAGATCGGAGAATAATCGAAATAACACAATTATGTGGTTTGTTGATTAGTTGGCTGGCTTTTCAGCTATTATTCAGTCAACTGCTCATTTGTTCAGTCAGTTATTTGTTTATTTACTTTCTTGGCTGGTTGGTAAGTCAGTCAGTCAGGCGGTTATTTAGTTAGTTGGTTGATTAGTTAGCTAGCTAGCTAGCTAGTTAGTTTCCCTTTCTTGCCCCGTTGGTTTCTGATGCCAGCCGCGAAATTCGGACGCGTTGCCTTCCAAAGTCCAATGCAGATATGCGAGAAACGTGACAGATAGAATGATACCGTTTTTGGAAAGAATATGACAAATTAGACCCCTGCCCCGGTTGCTTAGTATGCTGTCAGCAGAAACGGAAATGAGTAATATCGTAAGAGATAGGTATTTGGCCTGATGTTTGATTGCCTGTCTGGTGTCATGAAGCGTTCTCAAGAAGACACCTCACTATGGAAGGTTGTGCGTGCAGAGCTGTCCTTCCCAAAATATACAGAGCAGTCGTGACAGCAATGTCATATTTGTTTACCTCGTAAGCTGATCACAGGTTGGGCCATTTAGAAGCATATTCAATTATCAGCTGGAATACAATCGGCTGGATCAATCTTTGATAAATCGGATAAGTATCATTATCACCTCTCATTTCACCAAGAACGTCCAATCATATCACTTCTACGGCTAAAAATTATCAATTATTAAAAACTCCCTGAAGTATCGTAAGTTACGAACTACTGTTGATTCCAGATAGGGGTGAAAAAGCTATACAGGCCTCTTGGCTTTCGAGAATAGATTGCCTCTACTGATGGATAAAGTCCCCACTGAAATCTCAAATCTCCTTACATTATCAAGAATGTCGTTGCTTTAAAACCCCTCCAATCATACCTCTCTGTTTTCGCCTTGTCTAGATGATGACGTTGTTGAATTATAAGTGTACATAGCCTACATAAACTATTTTGTGGAATGTGGTGCGATGAACGCTAAACATCAATAAACTGGAAGTCCGGGGAACCAACAGTTTTTTGCCAACGCTCATTATCCGTTAGAGTACAACTTGAACTTGGTAAACAGTCCACACATGCGCTCGAAAAGTGGTCCTTTTTACTGTGATGTACATCGTGAAGTTAACTAAACAATCACGCAAATTAGGTAATGGTATTCGAAGCAAAGTAACCTATAAGCGAAATACACTCATTTGAAAACTAATTTGATTTTGCGAGAGACTCGCCTGGAACATGGCTTACTCTTTGGTTTGTAATGTTTCCAGGCAACTGAATGTGCTCCACCAGGCCGCCTCAGGTTTCAGTCGCAACGATATTCAACGTATCGCGATACTTGTATATTCGTAACGCATTACTCATAAGGTTGCTGAAACATAAGGTATTTCTGGTCAATATTTTCACCAGGTTCCTTACAGCCGTTGTCTTCCACCTCTGCTAATGAACAGCGCCTCCCTGATGAACAGGTTGTATTCCGCCACGCGGAACACGTTTGCCGTCGTATTTTCTTACGTAGAATATAGTTGAATTGTACGCCCTAAATATTGCAGACCGGCCATCCTCATTTCATTTGACGTCAAAAGTGCATTTATTGCATTTGACCGGACTGACACGTTTTGTTTATGCACTAGTATGTATGACTATTGCAAACATTAACCTTTCGGTATTCCCGGCGATGCGGCTGGTTCTTGGGAGGAGTTTCGCGCATACGGTTTCGTCTTTATTAACTTACTGGTTCCTAAATTCACAACGGTCCTCAGCATTTATTAATTGGGTAAATCCTTGATATTGGGATAAATTGGCCATAGATTCCTCATCCGGCTTCCAACAATTTCTTTAGCCTACTTTTGAACTGTGCATACTTACCGTTTGATGTGAAAAAGAGTAAACAACACTGTTCTTATTGATCTTGGACTGATGGCATGGTGGATTTCAGCAAACCATGTCACCCAGTAATAACAGATTGTTGGTGCTGAGGGTGTTTCGCTTTTGTGGATTTGAGCCCCAAAAATTACTCAAATCTCCCTATGAGTACATCGTTTGAGTCAGTTTAAAAACCATCACCTACCACCTACTCTTCTACAATGATTGCTGTGTTTCAAGTCTATCACCCATCTAGTCATCTATCCATTCTTTGAATTTGCTTTATTTCTCTCCCCCTTTATTCATTGCGTATTACGTAGTCGTTATTTATTTCCGTGTACAAAACCGTGAAGAGTACCTTATAATCTCATACTCGGTCGTAAAAATGACAGTACTGGCAAAACGTGACGTGATTCTTCCATCTGATGCAGGTGGACCAACCACTAAAATAGCAGAATCTGGCGGTTTAATGCCTTTGACAACATGAGAGCTAGGAGTATTTTTCGATCGAGTTATCTGAGAATCCAGAGTCTGTTTTGTTTCATATGTAGATTCTTGCAAGTCTTCTTTTATTGTGTTTCTCAGGAAACCAGATTCAAAGAGACCAGCGTGAACCAAAAGATCGACCACTGGCATGATGAATTAACGTATCATCTGTGTTTGTGACATAACTTCTCGCAGCGAAATCAACCATTAACTCTGTGCAAATGGTATAGGGCGTGCTGATTGATCAGATGGTAGCTGATCTGTTCGCCGAGCTTGGCAACTGGTTTGCAAACGTTTCGCCCCCAGTTGGGGAGACATCATCAGTTCGCAGTTGAGTGGGTACTTCCTCCGTGCCTAGCTGCGTTTTTATGGTTTTGAAGAGCACCACATATCCTGTCATTTGACTGGTATATACCTTTCCTTGATTGCTTAGATAACTGCTTCGGGGTGTTTCAGGTCCGTTTTCGATCGGTCCGTTCCCGGTTTGTGTTGCGTTGTAATCTAAATGCATCTAAATAGGTTTTTGCTTGTGACAGTTCGGATGATTGCTGTAGTAGTTTAGGATTTGGTCTGCATGCGTTACCTTTCTGTTAACTTCCGCAGTTGTCCGTGATGAGGACATCTAAGAATGCCAGTTTCCCATCGGTTCCTTCTTCCTCTGTGAATTGGATATAATCAAAATGGTGTTTATTAGTTTACTTGTTCGTTGAAGTTCATTCCTTTTGATGCTGAAAAAAGTGTCGTCAGCCGTGGTGTCTCCATCTTAGAATAGGGCAACCATGTTGGAATCCAGAAATTATCTTCCTTCAGGGATAGAGCATTGGCTTTAACCAGGAAGACTGCCATGGGAATGATTTCACTTCCAGAAATGACCTGCGATGCTTCTTCGTTTGAAGCTTCCTCATAAACAGGAAAATGTAGTAAGAAGTACCGAAGATGTCTATTGTAAATGACAACTGTCTCACTGAATCTTTCTACCGGAACTTTGTGAGCTGTTATTGAAATACTGCAAGAAAGTTTGAGCATTTCCTTTAGGATCCTACTTTGTTCTTGGTATGCATCTGACTACGCTTTCATGATCGGAATTTGTTAACTTCTACGACTTAGGGGGGATTGTAAGGTTTGGGTAGTCTGAGAAAAGGACCGCCTATTTCCCGAAAGTAATATAAACACAGTAATGAACTGAAGCAAACGTTCCCAGGATGACTGATGAAACTGAAAAGCCTAGCAGTCACCATTCATGAAGATCTCAACCAGGTTCGAAATTTGTGTATCACAATATCAACCCACTTACTCCAGTCCCTTTGCTGTCACGTTAAACTTCCAGTGAAATCAGTTCAGCGACCGCTCCAAACCTCCGGACTTCAGGTTGATGTAAGGACACGAGAATTTTAAGTTGGGATTTCGCTTTATGAATGATAATCCATGGTGAACGACCGAGAATCACTGTTCTGTAGTGTCTGTAATCCGTTGTAACATTTACCATTCTTCCTGAACCTGAACCACGCTTTGTAACTGTCGTTCACATTGTATCATGGCGTTTGTTTTAATGTTACGAATACACAAGTTTCCGGTGTGACCTGCTGACTTCTTGCTGAACGAGTGTATTTGCGCTCCGTTGACCTGTTTGTTGACTGCTGAACTAGTAACAAAAATCTCTGTGTTTGTATCAACTGTTGAACGTCGCAATAAACCCCTGTGACATTTTTTAGCCGTGAGTAATTTTCCTACCGTGGAATGTATCACGCACGCGGAGCCATCTGTGGGAAATTCCGACAAGTGAATATTTCCTTTCACAGCCAGCTACTGCATTTGGATCGGTGTAGTGTACTATTGGACCTATACATTCGTGAGTCCCAATTTGACTACTCATTCCTTTCCTTTTGTGATTTTGTATTGGTTACTTTTGCTTGTTAATTTATCCGAACACGCTGATAAGGTCCTAGTCCGCTACAGTTCAACTGTTTCATCCCTGTGCGCATCTCACGAAACTCAAGGGAAATTCAGACCAGTGACCTTCCTCTTAATAGTTCAGACACAACCATTCGGCCACGGGTGGCTGACTGGCAGTGTGATTAACTAGCACTTAGAATATAACGCCACTTATCCTTCAGTCACGGAAACCACATCACTTTGTCACCCGTTGACTACCTCAAGAATCATCTCAATGACTTCCAGTTTTTTTTTACTTCTAATAAGTCTAACTCAGTGCAGTGATACTGGACTTCCTGAGTGTGATAAGACACGTTTAGCAGGGCTGCAATATGGCTTGTCCACGTGGATTGTCTGGAACAATTCCGTGTTGGTATCCTGTGTTAAATGTAAAATGTAAAAATGTAAAGTACCGGAACTAATATCTGCATGTAGCAAAAGTCATAGTCAACAACATAACTAGGAAGTGTAGTAAGAAATGCGAGGAACAGTACGAGCGAACCTTTGGGAAGATAATTTTAGAGGCAATCGGATTGTGTGGGTTGGATTTTTCCAAAAGGCATGGAAAACCTTCCTAAGGCACGCAGTCTGCATCGTTATTAGAAGAAATCTTGCGCCTTGTATTTATTGTTCTAGGTTCTAGAAACCCCATCTCAATGGCAAAGTGAAACTATGAATAGTAATTTCCTGACCGCTGGTCGCCTCTCTTGTGATATTGCAGTCGTTCTCCCAATTATTAAGGAAGCCAACTCGGTGACAAATGCCGTCACTTTAACTGATTTGGTCTAGCTAACGGCTTACCGACATTGGCATCACGCCTTTCGATATAAGAATCGCTACATGCAAATGAGGTCGATGAAGTCGTGTGTTTTATGCGTGAATGGCCGTAGATTCCATCGATTAAATTTACAACACTGGACCAATCATATTCCAGCTAATATATTCCAATTGGACCATGCTGTGTGACAAAGCTTGTTTCAGCGCTGGAGACGAGTTCGCTGAACAGCTGCCTTATTCCTAGCCTGAGAATTCGGCGTTTTGGAATAGTGGGCATGGCTCCGATTCGCAAAGCAATTTCGGTTGGGCAGAAACAAGCCATACTGAAGGCATATGAAGCGCTTGATCGTGTAAGAATATATTGACAAGCATGCTTATCCTTATGCTCAGGTTAGTCAACGTGAAGCCGTCCGGATTCTCAGACAGCAGGGATTTGAGATCAGCCAACCATGTCTGTCCCAGATATTGAAAGACAAGGATTCGCTGCGCCTGTGCACAAATCCGGAAGCCCTAAGGAACCGGGGTTGCAAATTTAAAGAACTGGAATCTACCTTAGTTGATTGGATATGTGATGTTAAATCCCAAGGCGTACGAGTTTCCAAGAATTTAATCAAGGTTAAAGCAGAAAGCCTCAAAAATTCTATGGGCATCAACAGCTTCAAGTGCTCGGATGGCTGGCTAGAAAAATTCGAGAGGCGCCACAAACTGCGTTTGCAAAAACGTCCTGATAATTCTGACGCTATTGAAGCAGTTGATAAAGGAGAATGGCTCAAAACAAGTCGGATAGAAGCAGATGGGGCCAGTTCCTGTGTTGACCGGACGGAAGATACAAACTATGAACACAAGCAGTGTGATGGCTCAAACCAGAAGATTGAAGAAGAAAGCTCTGCAACAAACAGTCCCCTTAATTCAACTACAACAACGGTTCCTTACGGAGTTCATCCGGATATACAAACGCCCTGTTATCCGACAAAGAACGGAGAAAGGTGATGACTAGTGCAGCACAACGCATCATGTACCAACGATTGTTAATATCAATACACGCACGTTATTTTGTACTGTAAATTTTTCTCCCACTGGACGATCCCTACCAATGCTCGACCTCAAGGAGCCTATTTTGCCTTTTACGCTGAACCCTAGGGTGATATAGTGGCAACAAACAGTAAAGTATTCGGATCTGCCCATACTACTGTATGGAGCATTTGAAGCATGTAGCTAATGAGTTACTCACAGACAGCGTATTAAGTTACGGATTTTTTTAACTGCTAATGCAGAATTTACGGGCCAATGAGCTCAGGAATTACGGTCTCAGAACAGTTGGTTTGGAAAGTCAACTATTGACGTTAAAGCTCACAGGACTATACTGCCACAAAGACGCTGATTTTTTAGGAACCTATCCAAACTGTATGTTATCGAAAGTATCCGGAAATCGAAATACTGCTGGTGCAAGTTGGCTTCCTGGAAGGAGTCTGAATTAGGAAAATTCAGTCAACTTCAGTGTGAAATCTGGGATATAAACAGGTTTCAAATGAAGCACGTGACTAATTGGGACAAAAACTCAGGCATCAACTAAATGTCAGTGGTTCTGTATGTTTCAAAAAGTTTGTAGTTTAATTAGAACCTCCAGTATTTCAGTTAGGAATGCACCAGGCTTCTTTCAACTTCCCGTTTGTCACTTACGCGTTCCATCAAAACGTCTTTTAAAGTAACTTCTGACTTTACGAAGGGAGCCCTGCTTGTGATACTGGTTGTGCTGTTACTGTTACCGTTGTTGTCGTGGGTTGTGTTTCTGTAGGAGCTGATTGATGACCTGGTCGGTCCGACATGCAGTTTAGTAATAATGAGCCAAACCACGAACAATTTTTCAGCAACTTTGCGAGTAGTATGATACCAATTAACATCATGGACCATTTGACTGATCATGAGGGCATTACCTCAGTTAGGCAAAAAAACTGTCTTTCCATCGGTTGAGGTAACATGCGAAAACAACATAACGGATACTTAACTGAAGCCTATTCTTTTGAAGGCGCGCACTATAGGCACTGGATGAGGAATGTATTTTGGTTCGACGGAAGCAAATAAGCAAGATCACATACAACTCATACATCCGAAAGTGAACGCATCATTTCAAATGCTTGAAATACAGGGAGAATGCAAAGACTGTCTAGAAATGCACATCAGGTGGCCCGAGCCATCAGGTCTTTCACCATTTCATTATTATAACCAATTCACTAGGGAAATACTGGATCTTAACTGCCGTAAATTCTTTCCGGTATGTAGAGAATAGGGCGACTCGGTCGATGTGGCACGAAGAAACACTTATCCGAAAAGTTCTTGGCTCCATGTGGGCTGAGGTACTGCAGGAGTGCCCGAACCAAGATAGCAGGATGACTAAGTTCCTCGACTATGACTGGCTCAAAAACCTGACCACAATGCAGTGT